TTGTTTTTTGGCAGGGTATCACCCACTGTGGGGGCTTTGTGACCACACAGCTTCCCAGGGCCCCGCCAAGCGCTGCCCTTCCTGCTGCATCCATCCATCCATCCACTGCCCCACACCCTCCCTGAGGGCCAGCGGATCCACTGGTCTCCCTGGGGACAGCTGCTGGACACTCATGACCCAGACCCACCAGCACAGCCCCTGTCCACTGTCCCCACCATGCACGGACCTGAGCACAGCTCACCTCGTCCTCCAGGAGCCCCAGGAAGCCTCCAGGAGCAGCAGTCAGAGAGGCAGGTGGTCCAGGGGTCTGCAGACCACAGACACCATTTCCAGCGTCCTCTCCTTACTCTCACTTTTAAATTATTGGAATGACTCCTGCATGTGTGTGTCACATTTGGCTCAGAGTCTCACTTCTCAGCAGCGTCTCCAGCCTTTTTTTTTTTTGGAAATAGGATCTGCTAAATTCCCCAGGATGGCCCTACCTTGATCCAAACAGAGATCAGTGGTGGAATCTGGCTGAGGAAAGGGTGGGGTTTCCTCAGGAAAATCTACCTGAAAGGCAACGGCCTGACTTGACTCTCCCACGTTAGATATGTCAAAAAATGAAGGCAAGAATTTAGACTTTTGGTACAAAATGAAGAGAATGTTTTCTTATTTTTGTTTTGTTTTGTTTGGTGCCAGGGATGGAACTCAAGACCTTGCACCTGTGAGGCAGGCATGGTGCCAGTGAGCTAAATCCCTGGCCCAGAAAATAGTTTTTTGTTCATTTCATAAGCTGTGAGGTAGAATAGAAGACATACAGGTAGGCAGAAAGGAGACAGGGAAAATCATAATGAAAAATGTTCTTTTATAAAGACTGCTACTTCCGGGATACTGGGAAAGGCACGGGAGGCCACACACCTCAGCATCCCTTTGTAACTGAGGTTCCTTTCCTCCCATCACACCCTGACTCCCTCAGGACGCCGCCTCCACACACCGTCTTAGCTGAGAAAGCAACAGCAGAACCCGACGTTAATATGAAGGAACAGTTGAAGAATTCCAACAGGCTTATATTACGTATCTGGGCTTGTCCTGCACAATGGGCCAGTACCACTGTGCACCACCTTTCTCTGGGGTTTCCTGCAGCCTTAGAGAAACATCGATGTCCCCGCTTCCAGGAAATAGCTTTTCTTTGAGGAATTCCTTTCTTTGAATGCCTGCACTCCACTGTCAAGTGGGCCATTTAAAATTCTGCCTGAGAAATCTTTTCTGTGCTTGTCACTGACCAGGCCTCAGGATTCTTTGTCACAACAGGGGCCAGTGAACCTGCAAGCTGACTCTGTGGATGTGGTGGGTTTAGGTTCCTTATCTCTGTGGGAACCTGGGGCCCCTGTCTGAGGGCAGGTAAATCAGTGATTGACTCAGTTCTCAAGTATTGGTTGCGAAGTGGTAATATATTTATTTTGTTTTTCTTGTTTGTATTAGTTAGTATTCTTCTGTAGGGCAGAGTGTTTTCTTTTTCTCTGCTCTCTTTTCATTAGTGCAAAGGATTCAAGGAAAGGTTGTATTCCATATCTTATATTACAGGTCTTGTAATTTGTTTTGAGGCTCAAATTGCCCTGAGTTTGTACAGTGGGATCCCCTGAATACAAGCCCTGGAGTCTTCTGAAAATGTCTGAGGTGTTCAGAAAAACATCTCTACTTTTGGTAGCAAGATTTTTCACAGTCTGTGGGAAGCCAGCCATGGCCCACTGGCTTTTTGAAAGACAACATTTGTTCCTTTTTAAGGACTGCACGTGTTAAACTTGTTTTGACCCTGCACGGGAGAAACTCGGACAGCCGCGAGGGCCGGGCGAGGGGCGTGGGAGGCGGGCGGGGCGCGCTGGGACCGCTGTGCAGAG